AATTGAAAATATTGATGGCTTGGGTTTCTTTATTTATCGACTGTGCCATGACAAGGAAACTTACAAATTGCAGCGCAGAGAAACTATTAAAGGTAATACTTTTTAATGTTAAAATACTAGCAGAAAAGTTAACTGTTCATGTTGTCGTGTTAAATGATGTAGACAAAGCTTAGTCATCGTGTGTGTTTCCTGTGAGGCTTCATATTTTAATTCTAAATTTCACTCTTTTCTGCTAGTGAGAAGGGAAGGCCGGGGTGAAATGTCGTTGCTCTGAGGTGCTGGTACCATGTCGTCCATGTAGCTACCCAGTTTGATTTTCCATCCCCATTATAGCCTAGCATACCGAGTAGGATCTCATAATCCAGGTTTCTTGACCAACTCTCTACCTGTAGCCTAAGATCTAAATTCTAAGCAGGCTTTCCTCTAAGTTTGCCTTTTGAATTACATTAAGGAGCAGTTAGGTTAGTAAGAAAGGAATCTGGCTGAGAAATTAGGAACATTAATGCAACTAATTTATAGCTTTGTCATGTCACTTAACCTTTGTTTTTGCACCTGAAAAATAAGGATAACAATATGTTCCATTTCCTTTCCGTTGTAAAAATAAAATGAAAGTACAGTTGACAACAATGTAGAAAGTAAGAAGTGCCATGGAAAGACCATGTAGCATGCTGTCTATATGATCCTGTCGCCCAGTCAGAGTGCTTTCCTGGCTTTTTAACAGTGGTGCTTTAAATAATATCCTTTCTTTCACTTAGGCCTGATGAATCCGAAACCTACATTCTGCTTCCTTAAACTTTAGAATGATCTATTTCATAATTTGTTCAAAGTCAAATTGATACCCACAATGAAATTTGCCTTTATCAATGTACACTTCTAAATTTCCACAAATGCACAAATGGTCACACAGACAGCACCATAATCAAGAAGCAGAACCTTTCTATTACCTTCAGATTCATAAATTTGGAAGCTGTCTGTGAGGCATTATAGTTGCTATGATCTGAAAATGTATAGTTCAGAAAAAGAAAAGGTGTTTTCTCCAGTGTAAACAAAACACTAGAAGTTCACGAAAATAGTGTAAAAGTCTTCCATATATCTGAAAAATGAATAAAAATGTGAATATTTGTTATAAGAGCAACAAAAATTTAAAAACCTTTTTTCCACCAAACAGGTATTCAGAAACGTGAAGCCAGCGATTGTATCACAATTCGGCATTTTGAAAACAAATTTGCTGTGGAAACTTTAATTTGCTCTTGAACAGCCA